GTTGCACTATCTTCATGTGAGGCTGAGTTTATGGCGGCAACGGCAACCGCATGTCAAGCTGTCTGGTTAAAAGGTTTGCTTGAAGAAATCACCGGTCAAAGCATGGAACCCATAACAATTTACGTTGATAACAAGGCTGCAATCATGTTAATGAAGAATCCAGTGTTCCATGGGAGAAGTAAGCATATTGACACTCGATATCATTTCATTCGTGAATGTGTTGAGAAAGAGCTGGTCAGGATTGAGCATGTAAGTGGTGACGAGCACAAAGCTGATATCTTGACTAAAGCATTACCAAGGGTCAAGTTTATCGAGATGAGGCAACTGATGGGCATTGAAGATTTGGCAGGAATAAGGACTGGAATCAAGGGGGTGAATGTTGGTTAATTCCAGTCCAGAATATAGTTTAAATTTAAAAATAAATAAGTAAAAAAAAAGGGCAGGCAGTTGGGCAGTTACAGGCAGTTTTATAACAGTTTCCAACAGATGTGTTGGTTAGAAACTGTTGTGTCTATTTGTAATGGTTGTGTTGTTTAGTCCTCTATTTATATGTATGGGCACATTGTTCTGGACAGCAGTTCCACAATAAAAACACACTGTTTCTATACTTTAGATCTGTCATTATTTCTCTCACACATAACAGAATTTGGGTACAAATAGAAGCCCGATGACGAGGTATAAAAGAGTATTTTTGAAGTGTAAGACTAGCCTAAGAATTAATTAGGCGACAAAAATTCAATAAAATAATAATGTAGCATTTTTTAATTCGGTATAATGAATATACATTAATAAAACACAATTAAAAATTGGCAGAACCACATCTGTTGGAGGAGGGGTAGAAGACCCCCACCCCCCACCCCGCACACAACAACAAAAAGAAACTCATTTGGATGGGGGGGGGGGGGGAAGGAGGGGGGATGAATGTAAAAGACTAACAAACATGTAGGCCTGCTGGTCTGGCCTACCCATTTCTTTGACCTTATTTGCTTGTGTGCTAGAATGAATATAATTACAAATGTTTTTTTTTCATTTTTCCGACCTCAAACCTGACAGTGTTTGTGACAAACCTTATTTGCATGTTAAATACTCCGTATTTACAAGGGTGTAGCCAGCCAGTGTAAAATATAGACTATGTTGAAGAAAAAACTTAAAACTGTGCATTCAAAAAAACACATGTAGACTACTCAAATATTGATAATTGAAGTGATACTAACTCAAACCCACGGGGAGCAATTCGCAAAAGACGCAATGAAGGGGATAGAATCTGGAAAAAATCTTTGTCTGGAGAGACAACTCTAACCTGTAACAGTTTCATACCAAACGAAAGTAGCAAACTTGTGACATATCCATACAGAAATACTGAGTCTAACTTGTCAGGCAATTTGTTTTTTTACAGCATTTAAAAAAGGAGAATTTATCGATATACTCTCCATAGCACCTTACAGAACTGTGAAGGTACATACGCATTAAGCAACATATAAATACAAAATTACTTGATAAATAAATTAATGAAGCATATAAACTTTGGAAGGTCAGAAGGAAATTTGAAGAAAAGTACAACAAGACAAATCACTCAAAAGAGCATCCAGTTAAGATAAGAACTATCTTACCTTGTAACCAGCATCTACACTCCTAGCAGCCAATGTCCCAATTACATCATCGGCTTCGACCCCAGGGACCTGATGAGAAGATGTTGTAAAGTTATGACAATATCCAGTCTAGGGCAATGATATGCAAACTGCGCCCTGTTTACCTCAATCACTTTGATTGACATTGCTTTTATGGATGCTTTCAGAAACTGAAGTCCTTGCACAATAGTATCAGGTGTAGGAGGGCGATTGCTTTTGTATGCAGGGTATAAGTTGTGACGAAAATTGATGCCTATTAATAGAATTACACAAGTATTTGTTTCAATTAGTCCAACTGAAACCTAAAACTTGAGTCACTAACAGGAAAACCAGATACCATGCAATATTAATCAATCAGGTCAATCTGTTCAAATTGAAAATCAACAAGAGGGACAAGAGTGAAACTTCCATGGCCAGTGAATTACATTATAGGTTTAAAAAGTTTATATTCACGTCACACTGGAATTTACCAAGTAGGAAAAAGTATAAAATAAGCCGGAGAGATAAGTGATAACTACTATCTCCATTATGATTACTATTAGAAATAACTTCATTCTGTCATTTATCTTCAAATACACAGGTTTTTCTCAGATCACAAAGTGTCAGTAAATGAACTGCACTTCAACTGCTGCAAAAACATACATCCTGAAATAAATGAACAGCTGAACTTTTATGACTGAGGGAGTGTAATTCCTCTTATGGTCCACCTTCAATCAACAACAACAAGATTACCCAGTGCCTCAAAGGCTCCCGCCCATTGTGGGGTAAGGGCGGGTCGGATGTACGCAGCATGACCCCTTAACTTTAAAACATAGAGCGACTGTTTATGGATGACCCATGATGAGCGACTGTCCACCTTCAATCATCAAGCAAAAAATATATGGCACTAACAATAGGTGCAGATTGTAATTCCCGAAGTGTAATTTATTATGGGATTGAAGGCATTGAACCAATCAACAGAGAAAAGCAAGACTAACATCTTCTTTATCAGTTGGCCTCGACATATTTCATTTTTTTTATCTTTCCTTCTAAAGGGTTGTTAGTTTGGTTAAGTTATTAAGGGATCTCTTTATAATTGGCAAGTCTCTGCTTCCTATTAAATTACAATTGTAATTTCATTAAATGGGAAGACAATGTAATTCAAAGGGAAGTTGTAAATGAATTGTAAAAAGGTATTCTTGGAAGTTATCTTTCACAACTTCTCTCTCTTCCTTCCTGCTTGCTGAAGATTAAATTACGTAAGTATTCTTCATAAATGGTGGGTGTAGGGGTGGGGGTGAAACCATACCTTTTGCAATAATATTTTGATTGGGTGTCACAGATGTATGACCAAATGGAAATCCTGAAAGTGAGAATCTCGATTTTAGAGAGTGTTGTTCAAAGGCATATAAATTCCAACCCTGGTTCAACAGCATATGCAAGGTTTTCAAGAACTATTTAATAAGATAAAATCACAAAATTCATGAAGGCGTGAACACTCTGAAGATGTCAAAACTCAAAAGGTCAATTTAGCTTGTTGTCTTCCAAAATGCCTTCATTTTAAAAAAGCAACTAAATTGTTCATTGTTGTTGTATCCTTTTTAAAATAAAATAAGAACACAAACACACACACACACACACAAAGCATTTCATGCTATCAAATTCATAAAAATTTATGGACTAAATTAAAGCTTATTGGATAAAAATATTAGACGTGGACATTGAGTTTGCTCGCTTAGATGATGAACATTCACGCATCACCACAACATGTTTAACATTTGCATCAACTGTGTATGAACAAGTGATAAGTGCAACTATAATTTCACTAAGAAACACATCATTGCCTATACTAGACCTGTGATCCGATTGAAAATTATACTTTTGGTAGTGCTTATCAATTATTATCACCATATCAAAATCAAGAGACATTTTTAAAATGTCGAGATGCAATTAGAACATGTATGGCTTAAAACGTGTATGACTTGGAATATTGTGCACGCTAGAGTGTTGAAAAGCATAACTCGTGGTAGAGATTAAAGAGCAAGTTATGTGGGAAAGAGGGGGAAATAACACTTGAAATGAGGAAAATAACTGAAATGCAGTGAATTGAAATATAGATCTTACCATAATGGTCAAAAACAACCTGCAAGAGATAAGTGAAAAGTAAATTATAGGGCATGCAGTAATCATTAAAAGAAAGGTAAAAACTGAAACTCGAGTAAATCAGCATATGAAATGCTAAAAAGGAACTCCTATGGAAATAAAACTCTTCGAATTTTTGAGTAAACGATCATGACTTGAACCTTACTAGTACCTATAGTGGATTGTAATTTTAGAAATTGGTGTTTACAAAGAAAATATTTTTTGTCTCTAAATATATCTCACACTTTCCTATTTCATCTTGCCCCAAAATAATCTCCTACTTCATTTTAAAGAAAAGAACATGAAGTTCAAAACAGTTCTCTTTCTTCTAAACAAATCCCAAGCACACATTTTTCATTTTCCAATTGTCTCCTTAAAGTATATGTAGTACTTTGTATGTGTGGTTGAAGTGGGAGATTAAATGAAGACGGAGGAGTAGTTAGCATGTCATAACCAATTATGAGTTCAATGTCCCATAGAGAGCTTACTCCTATGTGTGGTTAAAGTGTATATTGGGTGGCAACTCCAATATATAAATTAAGTAGTCAAAGATAGGATAACCTCCCGTCATGAAATGCCACATAGAGAGCTTACTCCTAGTGCTTCAATTCAAAGTTGTCTCAGCCGATAAGTGAAACCCTATCAGCTACCTCTGCTAGGTTAAGCATGTATATACCTTTTGTGTAAATAGTATATAGTCTATATACTATATAAATGCATAGTAGTACATGCTTGTACTAATACATCCATATATTGTTCTTTTCCTGAGAACAAAAATGTTACTTTGCCAGTTTGCCTCTAGCTTCACAGCCTTCACTAGAGGCTTCAACTCATTTATCACCATCACTTATTAATGATTTAGATCTTCCCATTTCTCTTTGAAAACATTTTACCCATAGCTACACTAGAGGCTTCAGATCCTATCAGAGTCATCATCAATTAATACTGATTTAGATTTTTCCATTTGTCTTTAAAATGTAAATGTGCTCGTGCACAAAGTCATACACCCCTCATTTAATTGTCTTATGTATTTATATCAAGAGTGGACTTTATACATATTCAAGAATCTTGGAGCCTTAAATCAGGCTTTATATCATTGTTTCATTCTAGACAGAGGAGTGCAAGCAACAAATAAATTCATGCAACTTGTACCAATTGGCTCAAGCACAACTAAGATGATTGACTACAGTGGTAATAATGTTTGGGCTGCAAAGAAGTGGTAGTTTATTTACTTAAAAGGAAATTGACAAAGTTAAAGGAATTTGGGAATACTTTTTCGTCTTTTTTGGAATGGAAGAAGTATAAAATATAGAAATAATGAAAATCTTTAAGAAACATGACAGGGATGATAAGTTTCTTACCACCACATGTGAAGGAGCAAATTCCAACACGTCAATAATCTGCAGTATCAAAATACCAGCTCCTATTTCAATCCATTGTCAAATGAATGGAATACAAAAACAAATGCAGTTAACCCATATCCACTACACAGAATGAACTAACTGCTCAGTGCTCACAGATAATAGCTTCCTAACTTGGCTGAATTGTCTAACTCATAACATAGCCAATGTTCTTCAAGTTATACGTGAGCTTCCAACAGAAGCCCTGAAAAACTCTTTTCATGTTCTCAACATCTACACCATTGTCTCTTTAAGTTAAACAAAAAACACCAACATATATGCAGTGCTCACAAAGTCCCTTGACATTTAATAAAGTTCCACATTTCTATAAAAAATTGTGCAATGGTATGTAGAGAGATGAGGTCAACTTATGTTATGGAGAACTGGTGCAAACGAAATGAAAAATACGGAGTAGAAGCAACCGCAGAAACCCAAATAACTTTAACTCACAAGTGACAAGGCTGTAAATATAGTTAAGACCCAATCTCCATTGCCATCAGCATGGGAAAGGTGACCATGGTGCAGTTTAGCTGTTCAAAGCACACATAATAAAATCAAAACTATAATTTAAGATTTGTTGGGGGCAGGCCAAATCAGCAGACACTTCATTCGTCACCAACGAGATGCCAAAGCAAACAACTCAGAACTTAAAGATAGTGACTAATGAATATCTAGTGGACAATATATTGTGATATTTCATTGTATCTATAGTCAGTGATACATGCAATATCAATGAAAAAATCAGCTAAAGCAGCTATGAAGGGAAAATTAGTTCTAAACTATTATTGCATTCACAGAACTTTCAAGAAACATCTAAAGGTGTGCCCTAACATAGGACGTCATATGGCTAATCTAGAAATTTAAAAATAACAGGCTCTGCATTATCCTTCCAGGGAGCCAGAACATATAAAAGTAACTCTAAAACAGCTGCTAATCACTGCAAAACCAAAATTTCTACCAAACATGCCATGCATTTAATCCAAATTCATCTTATGTGCATTTCAATTTCAAGTCACATACCAGACAAAAATGGTGCATACAATTACGGACTATTTTACTGGGTGAAAGAGATGCCAAGGAAGTATTATTTCAAACCAAACACACTAACGATATGTATGAAAAATATCATGTTATTAATATGAGACATTTTAGAGACGTGAAGTAGCATGTAAGATTAAAGTTATAGTGACAATTTCCTAAAATTAACATACCAAGAAGCCGGTAGTAAGCTCGGTATATAACAGACGTCCCATCAATTAGCATTACTCTCCCATTCCCGGAGTGAGATTCAACTATCCCACATTTATCATGAACATTGGAATCCGATAATACATTATTTTGAATTTTTCTTTCCCTTTCAGTAATAACACCAGAAATAGTACTGTTGGAAGATAAAGAACAATAACCCTGATAAATAATCACACACACAAAAGAAAGTGTTAGAACAAAGTGCCATATATCAAAGATGTTGATAATAATTGCGTGTCTACGTTACCTTTTTAAAACTTCCAGATTGAGAGTAATTGATGAACAACCCAGTGGAGGTGTATCTGTTAACATAACCCGTCCTGGGAGCGATTACTGGGAAGCTCCTCCCAATTGAACACAGAGTTCTGCAGAAGAAAGTCTGCATTTGATAGCATGACACGTGAATTCAATCCTAAGCGCTCCCGGCCTAAAACAGGATACAGACATTGAAACCTTGAAAAAAAGGAAATCCAGTAAACAACTGAGGAACGCAAATCGTATTAGGGCGTTTCACAGAACGAACTCTGTAGATAGATATACGAACCTTTTATTCAGTCTCTGGATGATAAGGTACTCTAATGCTCATGTGGAAGTCAGTGGTGTTTGCTCGCCGGCAACGGATATCCAGCGGCGTTGCAGTGCTCGGGTAGACGATGACAGTGCGTATGGTTTAAGGCGCCAGGATTAGATGACTTGCTTATGTAGGGTGGGAGACCAGAAATGTTTGTTTCACACACATAATTTTTATAAACTTCACAAATTTACTATTTGTGAATTTTAATAAAAAAATTAAATAGTCTAAAATAATTTTAAAATAAGAATCTAAATATAAATAATAAATTTGTAAAATTTGTGACCATTCTGTTTGTGAACCTAGCATTGCTCAAAGAGTATAGAAGAGGATTGCGAACGTATTGGTGCATTTTTTTAAAATTGAATTACATCGAATTTGTTGGAAATTTCTAGAAAATGAAATTGCGAGAAAATGAGGAAAAGGAACTTCCTAGGATATAAGCACCCGAAGAACCATTCAAGAGACAATATCATAGGAAATATTAATCCCAAAGGTTAGAACTTGTCGGGAGGTCACTTCTTGGTTAAAATCGAAAAGATTCAAGAATGTAAAGATTCATTTCGATTGCATTGTTGTTGTGTATTCTTTAAAGAAAGATAACCCCTCTTATGTTTTAATTTGATTTGTTGTCTAGTGATTGCAAAGTATCATTGGATATCTTCTATGTTGTTTTAATTTAGTTTTATTTATTTTTATCAAGGCCAGCCCAATAGGGGGACAAAGTGTCCGTCCGGGCCGGGCCCAAGATTTTAAGGGGCACAAAATTATTAGTTTTAAAGTATTATATTTACCCACTGGCCCAATCAACCACATTTAAGGCCGGCCCAATACACTCCTAGCTTACTTACTTATACACGGTAGACAAGAAAGAAAAGAACACGCGGAAGACTGGAAGAGAGCCAAACTGCCGAGTGCCGAAGAAGTGGAAGAGCCTAAGAAAGACGCTGCCTCTAACAGACGCCGCCGCCGAACGCCGACCTCCACCCTCCGGGTATTCCATATTCAATTATTCATCGCTTTCCATTTTTATAATTTTTATTTTTTAATTTTCTTTCATTGTTTCATTTTTTAGATTTAAAATCTAGGGTTAATTATTAGTTTTTAATTTGAAATTTTTTCTAATTTCATTCTTTGAAATAGAATGAATTAATGGTTCTATATGTTATTTATTTGATTTGGATGAATTGATTTGAATTTGTTATTTATGATATATTTATATTAAAAAACTGAAAACCGAAAAGAAATTAAAAACTGATAAATTGACTAGTTGATATGGATTTATAAAAAAATTATAACTGAAAAATAAAAACAATTTTTAAAAAAAGAAAAATTGACAAATTGGTTTTAGTTTATGATATATTTATTTATTTGCTTGCTTTTTCACTTTTTCATATTTAATTTTAATAAGGCAACTAAGTAATAGAATTTATGAATTTAGATTTTATTTCAGAAATAATTCAATAGATATGGCTCCTAAACAATTATCCGGTAGTCAAAAAAAAGAAAACGATCATTAGGCATAAGATTTTTAGGGCCTTTGTTAGTTTTAGGGATAAGATTTTTATTTTTTTCTGTTTCGGCCCAGGCATATGAATTCTCAGGACCGGCCCTGATTTTTATATCGTTGAAAATTAAAGATCATATTTAAACTAATAAGATAGTTTTTCAGTGTTCTTCTTAGACACCATACTTGCAACATTTTATGCTTGTGTTATTCATTAGTGAAGCATTTCAAATCAAAATATTTAATTTTCATTATTCTTTTCTATCGTGTTCGATGGACTCATGGATTCATTTTTTTTTTACTTTGGAGCATGATGAAAAAAAAAAGTAAAATGGCTCCTTAAGCTATATGTGCTTCTTTTGATAGTAAAATAATACGGAGTAGTTTGTTAATGCAACTTTTGATGCTCATAATGGGCCATTCGAAATCAGTCACTTTATGTCTTAAACATAGTTGTCACGCTGCGCACATTCAACATCTTCCATTTGTATATTACTTTGAAAAATGTCATGACTTCAAAAATATCTTCCATTTTAATACTACATGGTTAGACTGTGTTCATGTAATCTTCCATTTTCATACTACTTTAGAGTTGGATGTAATACTTCAAAAAACTTCAAGGTAATTGTAATTTATGGAGTATACATTTTTTTTCACTCGTGTTTAGGCTCTGTTTGTTTGGGTTACAAAACAAAGTTGGATTTTGAAAAAAAGATGAAAAAAACTAGAAAGAATTAGAAGAAAGTGGAAAATGTTGGAATACTATGAATAAAATTGGAAAAACTTATAGGACCAAAAGAAATTTTTATAGAGTTGGATAAAGTTTGAATATTTTTCCAAAGAAACTTGAAGTATCGAGAAAAAAATGAATTTCCGTACTCACTAACGTAACACTCTCGTTCCAAAAAAATATTTAATCTCTTTCATATATTCCTTCTTATTGACTTTTCATACTCTCTGACGCAATATTTTAACCATTAGTATATCTCTGTATATATAAACAACATATATTACCACCGTCCTTAATATTTATTCTGTTTTGATTAGATTTTTTATAAGATTTACACTTGATATTGATATAAGAATATTTTTATTAGATTTTTTTTGTACAATACTTTTGAAAGATTTTTTTGTTTAATTAATATAGAATGTAATTCTTTTTAATTATAGATCAAAAGCCGATCTGGATTAACTACAAAAAATGTCATAATTGAACAAATGCTCTAAGAGAGATGAAGTATTATTCAATTGAAATTAAAATTGAGGACATTATATCTTTTTAAATAATTTATGATATTATTTCAATTTTTTATATTTTATCAAGATAAATAACAACAATAAAAATAAGAGTAATAACAATAATAATATGAAAAATATAACTAAATAATTTTATAATTGTTATTGGAAAAAAAATAAAAAAAATAAAAAAAAATTAGAAGGATATATGAAAGATTTGGAAGAGATTAAAAGATAGTTGAAAGAGTTTGAACAAACTGAAAAAAATTAAAAATATTAGAAGTTAAAAATTAAATCTAAGAGAATATAGCCTTGACCGTGAGGTAAAGTATGTTGTTCCTAATAAATAAAGATTTATACTTCTTTAATCTTAAGAGTCACATTAAAAGTATGACTTTTACACATTTTCCACGAGCTAACATATACTACCACTATCCTTGAGTATAATTTTTTTGGTGAACTGTTTTCAACCTTTGACCTATAATTAAATAAAATATATACTCCGTATTATATATTAGTTAGATAAAATCATATTTTGAAAATATTTGATATAATATATCTAACAAAATTATTTTTGAATCAATATCTAATATCATTTTTATTTAATTTGAAGTCAAAGTTTACTAATTTTAACCAAAAAAAGTCAAAAATAGACAAATACTCAGGGACGGAGGGAGTATCTCTTTCCTTTTTTGTAAAATTTGACTCCAAAGTCAAAATCAACTTGTGAGGTGCAATTGACGGGGGTAGGGGGCGTGTTCGGGTCGGGGCCGGGGTGGGGGGTTTACCGGAGGGGTTAGGAGGGGTAGGAACCGTTAATTTTACGAACGGGGCACCGGGGCACCTCCAGGTCATTTCAAGACATTGGAACCCAATGTCATGGGAACCTTGGTGTTCTTTTATAGTGGTTATGTGCTATAATGGATGTGGATCTAAGATTTACGGAGTACATAATACTACGTACTCTGTAATACGTAGTATGTCAGAAATAAATATACTTATAAAATAATTATCCTTAATTGGGTGAGAAATAAATATTTGGGCAAAAAAGAAACTAATTTCGCGAGATAGTATTCTTACCCGACCCGGTAAGGCCGACAACGTTCAGTATCAAGTATCATCACCTCCCTGGGATGTCTTACCCTCTAACCCTCTGATAATTCCTTGGCGACTCTCTCGTTCAGTATCATCACCGGAATTTCGCCGACGACATTTCTGCTACTATATTTTGATCCCTTTCAGTTACTTTCGGCAACCCTACCCGATTCAAATCTGAAGCCGCCATATTCGCAGGTACCCTCTGTTCATATGTGCTGTAGGCATGTGCTCTCTCTATGGATTGATTAGATGCTTCGTTAATATCTTGTCCTAGTTCATTACATCGCAGAATACGTAGTCACAACTATCCATGGAAATTCTTGGATACATCCCAGAACTTATTGTTTATTAACATTGATACCAGGAATTTCAAGGAAAAGGGGGTTCGGTGCCGGGGGTGTTTTTGGTACGATTGATTGAAGTTTGAGTAGGCAGAGGCTTTGGGCGGGTTAACCCCATTTTATATTAGCTATGGGAAGAAAACCTGGAAAGTACAGGAAGAAGGAAAGCAGCCGGCCAAGCAAGTCTTCAAAAACAGACTTCTACAATGAAGATGATGACATGATAAACGACGAAATTGATGCATGTATATACCCCTCTCTTTTGTTTTCCCACTTTGATTTTTTTCCCTGATGGCAAATTTATCTAAATCCTTTGTTTTTTCAATCCGACGTGGTTGTAGTTCATAAACAGAGGGATATGATTCCGCTGGACATTGACAAAGGCTATAATGAAGAGTCTGATGAAGATAGTGAACACCCTGTGTATGATTTAGAGGTATGATCATGCTTTGGTCATGTCATGGAAAATATTAATGTGATTGCTTTGTTCAATGAGTTTATCAATTCAATTAATGCAGAAGTTGTTTTGATAAACATGTAAAAGCAGTTGTGAGAACAAAAATGTGTTTTAAAGATCCGCCTTTTTGTTGGTTTGCTAGGATGAAGAAGAAGAAGAAGAGGATGATGACGATGGTGACTACAATGACAGTTTTGCTACTAAGAGTAACTCAACAACCCTCTTAAGCTTTTAATACATTCTATGATGACATTTTTTCCATCCATTATGACATTCTTGGTTACCTAAAGATGGGAAACATCATTTGTATGTTTTATGCATTCATCATGTTGGATTCCTATTTATCCAATTATTCATGTAGTGTGATTCAGCGGTAGACATCTTTAATGCAGCCAATGACCCTATTGCTTATCTATGTCATTTGTAAACATGTTGAACCAAAA